CGCCCGCCCCCGCCGCCGCCGCGCGCCGCGCCGTCGCGCTCCGCCGCGACATCCTCTGCCAGGTGGCCGGTGAAACCGCCGTCCAGCGGGTACACCTGCTCCTCCGCCTCCCCGTCTTCCGCCGCAGACCCCGCCGCGCCGCCGCCGGCGCCGCGCCGCAGGAATCGGACGCACAGCGCCGCCTTCGCGCTGGCGGCGTCGAAGGGCAGCGCGACGGCCTTTCGGGCGCTGTTGCGCAGCAGCACGGTGATGGGCGGCAGCGGCTCCCCCAGGCGGGCGCGCACCGTCGGGGGCAGCTTGCCGCTGCCGCTGGCAAGAGAGAAGCGCGCGTCCAGGTGCTCCGCGTTGAGCGCCTCCACCTGGCGGCGGTGAGACGCGAGGGGCCGGTCGTGTCGCACGTCGCGCGCAGCGGCAGAAACGGCGCCGCGGCGCGGCGAGGGCGGCGGGCCCGTCTGCCTGTGTGCGCCTATGCGCGCGCGTGCACGCAGCTGGCACCGCGCCCAAACGCGCCGGTGCGGCGCGCTGGCCCAGCCGGCTGGCGGAGTCGAACAAGCGCCCATGCGCGCCTGCGCTCCCTGTCTGCGCGCGCTCCTGCTGCCCTTGTGGCTGGCAGGCGCCCAGTCTCCAGCGCACTGGAGCGTGCATGCGCTAGAGCGTAAACTTCCCACCTTGAACTTGTACTCCAGGAAGCTGTCATCTGGCATGGCGGTACGGTCGTTGCACTGGATGCGCAGGCGGTATGACCCCTCCTCTGCCACCCACTGCCGCAGGCCTGCGAGGCCGTGCGAAAAGAGACTCGCAATTTCAAGGAGTCGGCATGGCGCCCACGGCGCAGGCGCCGAGCGGCAGAGCTGGGGACCACGCACGGCGCGTCAGGGTACTATCAACGCTTCCTGGGTCCGCGGCGGAACAGCGAGACCTGCCGCGCGAAAAGGCGTGGTAGCCGAACGGGCTGGGGCGTGCCCACCTGCAAACCGGGCCTTCTTATTCTGCACGTATGTGGCCGTCGCAGACTGGGAGTCTTCAAATCTGGCTCAGGGTCAAGAGGGCCGGGCCGCACAAGGCAGGTAGGGCTTGGCAGATTGCAGTGCGAGGCGAAGTGGACGAGCAGGGGCCACGATGGGCCGCTCAAAGCCGCCGCAAGCACCGTCTTGCCTGGCAGCAATCCGATCGGCGCCGCCTGTTTTTGGACAAAAGGGCTCCCCCTCAGCCACCGCTTCGCGCCATGTACGGCCCGCACCCCCAACCCCCCGCGGCGCGCCGCCCGGCCCACCCACCCCTCCACGGGCCGCTCGTTGCGCCACAGCGACGCCGTCAGCTCCTTGGCTGAATTGGCCCAGCCCAGCATCCTGGTGACCTCCACTGGCTTGCCAGACTTGCTCATGAAACCGACGACAACCTGACGGCGGCAGGCGGGCAGAATCATGCATGCAGACAAGTGGGGTCAAGAGGCGAGGTTGGAAAATTGAGTGGGTGGCTGAGAGACGGTGCAGGCATCAAAAACGCCGATCACGGCAGGCTGAGCAGTGGAGGGGATGCAGCAAGCTGCGGAGGCGACAAGGCAGTGCATGCATGGAGGCCCTTGGTCGCTAGGGGTGCTTGGGCGAAAGGCCGAGGCATCGAAGGGCGGCCGCAGCTGCGGAGGGCCCGCCTGATGCGACCACTGCACCTCGTCTGGAAAGGTGGACGCCGCCGTGGCCTCGTAGATCCCGTTGCCCCGCAAGTACGGGATCCTGGGGGCGCGCACGGGGGAGCAACAAAGGCCAGAGGGAACTCGGCGGGCCGCCCGTGCTTCCTTCAAACAAGCCTGGCCAAAGGGGGCCGCGGCCGCCTCGCGGGAATGCGTGCAGGCAGCTGTCCACGGCGAGGCCCAAGGTGGGGGGCGGCGGCGTTACCTTTGGGGGTCTGTGTCGCAGATCGCGCCGTTGTTGGCCAGAAATGCGAGCCGCCGCGGCCACTGCGCCCGGGGAAGGGGGGAAAGGGGCGTCGTCGGTGGGGCGGAAGGGTATGACGGCGGTCGGTGATGGGCCAGCGTTGGGGCATGCAGTTTGCCCAAAAATGCTGGATCCGGACCCGTGCGAGCGCCAGCCATGGTGAAGGCTGGCGCCAGAGGCGTTCGCAAGGAGCCCCGTGCTGCACGCGCCCCGGCGGGGCGAGGCCGGCGGCGGCGCATGGCGGCCGCGGCGGCAGCGGCAGGGGGTCGGCCCCACCTCCTCCTCCCAGAGCAGCTGCCTCATCCTGGTGGCCTCCTCAACCTCTTCGTTCGTCTCCCCCAGCGGCGCAATCTGGTGCACACGCAGGCCGTCTGGGGCGCAGGGGGTTGGCAGGCCACGGGCCGCCCGCAAGTGAGTGCGCAGGCGGGGCAGCCGCGCGTGCGCGAGCTAGGGCCCCAGGGGCTCTGGCCTGGCGGCGGCGCGGCTGGGCACGCCGGCGGAGCTCGGCATGCGCAAGCTGGGCGCGCCACAGGGGCCGGCGGGCAGCGGCGGGTTGCTCACGGTGCTTGTCCACCGGCGCAGGCTCCAGCCATGAGGGGCGCCAGCCGCCCTGACGGACGTATGCGTATATGTCTGCGTTGCCGTCGGGCCCAATCTGGCGGAAGAAGCCCACGATCCTTCGGCGGGGCGGCGGGCGGGCCAGGACGTGGGGCGGCGGTTGGTAGGGCCAAGGGAGGAGTGGTGCCACTTAGAATGCTCGTTGTCATTACCACCCATTTTGTGGCTTCTGCTGCTGCTGCTGCTGCTGCTGCTGCTGCTGCTGCTGCTGCTGCTGCTGCTGCTGCTGTCGGCTCGGCTGGTTTTTGGTATTCTACATGCGTGCTTGCGCATGCAGCCGCTGCCATCCCCCTCTGAACTGATTGCATGCGTGCACATGTGTGCGCGCGTCTGCATCTCCAGGTGAGGCAGGCGTCCACGCTCGCGCACTTGCACTCGCACGTGAGGGCGCCCTGAGAAGGCCAGCGCCGCACCTGTGCTCCGACGGCTGCCCCAGCTCCTTGCGCCGCTCCTTCTCTGCCGCCTTGCTGTTCTTGCGCTCGCTGCAGCGCAGGCGGGGCAACAGCATGGGCACACACTAGCGGTCAGGACGGGCCCCCGACGGGCAGCAACCTCACAAGCGGGTGCCACTATCAGATCCCTACATGGAGCAGCGCGATCCCAACGCTACCAAGGTTGTGAGACTGCAGGCTGCGAGTCCGCAGTGCAGTCCCCGCCGGCCGGCCCACCTCTTGCCCGGCCCTGGCGTGCCCGCCGCAGCGTCGTCGCCCTTTTTAACGTCGATGAAGCGCACCAGCTGGCCGCAGCGGATCGGGTCCTTCACCCGCGGCTGCGGTTGAGGATGGATTCGGAGCCGTTTTCAGCTGAGTCCTGGCGAAGGCTGCAAGCCCGTGCCTGGGGAGGGTCGGCGCGCCAGACGGTCGCCCCCCCCCCCCTACACAGATACATGCATATCAGCTCACTCGCACTGACCGCCCACGCACGCTCGCTACCAAGCTGGGATGCAGATAAAACGAGCAGAGGTGTGGGGGGGGCGCCCCGTGCACCGTCTTGAGGGCATAGCCAATGTCGAACTTGCCGTCGGGCCCCTCCGCCACCTCGGTTATATAGCAGGTCTCGTCCTGAGTCACACGTATCAGGGGCGGGAGCGCTCAGGTGCATACGCTATGCGTGCTTCGTCCAGGGTGCAGAGGTAGGCGCGGCAGCCGCATGCATGGTGCGACCGCGCGCCGCCCCCAACGGGGACCGCGACCGTATCCCGCGCACATGCGTGCGACAGGGCAGGGTCACGGTGTTCAGGGCAGGGGCGCTGCGTTGTGCGCTGCGCCCACCCGTTTGCGCCAGAATTCCATGTGGTGCTGCTTCAGCATCTCCACGCCCCGCGCGGGCTCCACCCACGCGCCACTGCGAGGGTCGTGAACGTACACCGCCCCGCGGCCGTCCAGCGCCGGCACGACGCCGGCGGGCGCGGCGCCCATTGCCATGAAGTCATCAAACGCCTCGTCCTAGTCATAATTCAGAGAATGGGATGAAATCTCATGCCAGGTGGTGCCGGGGCAGGCGACATCAAGGAAACGCATAAGCAAGCATGCGTGCTGTTGCAAGCCGGCGGGAGCTTGCGGGCTGTAGGAGGCAGTATGCTTTGGAAGGGTATGCGGGATTCGTGCGCGCGCCGCGGGGGGGATCTATGCACCGGGGAATTTGCGCAAGCACCTGAAAATGGGTTTTGTGGTTCAGGGTGTAGCACTCTGGGGAAGCGAAAAGCAGACAGCTGCACAGGGAAGTGGTGTGTGTGTGTGTGTGGGGGGGGGGGGAGGGTGAAAGGGATGGGCAGGCATGCGCATAGTTGCAAGTGGACTGCCCATGCAACCACACGCACATGCATGCACCCACCGCATGTGGGCGTGCGCACTGCAAACAGGCGTGCGCCAATCCGCCTGCGCCCTGGACGCTCATACCCGCGCCACAACCTGGACGCCCCTGCTGCAACTCCCTGCATGAACCCCTTGCTCATTCTCTTGATCTTTCTCCTTGCTTTCTCCCCATGCTCCCTCCCCGCCCTGCCCAGCACACAAAGCCCTGTCCTGCGCTCATCATCGCCCACCAGAGCTTCTCAGGCTTCAGCTTGGCGCACTCCGCCTCGGGGTTGGGGTCCCTGCGCGCCACCTCCACAATGTCGGGCAGCGGCGCCATGGTGATCAGGCGGCTGCCCCAGAACACAAACGTCAGGTGCTCCGCGCCGGAGGGCAGCATGACGGCCGGCTTGGTGCGGCCCCTGTGTTTGTGAGGGGGGGGTTTGAGGGGTGAGCGACGCAGGCTAGGGATGGGGGTGCCGATGACGGCCCGCCGTGCGAGCGACAGTGTTGCATGATACAGGCTTGGGAGAATCTGAAAAGCGGGAGTATGTAATGGGGAAATATGAAATGTCTTGAGCACCTTCGAGCAGGGCAGCCTTGCGTGACAAAAACGTGAAGAGCCCTGCTGACCTTCAGCTATGGGGCCATTCTCATTTGACCCCAAAACCCTGTGTTCCCAGATCCTTGTGAAGCCCCCTCACTCCTCCATGAAGGGGTAGAACAGCAGACACATCAGAAAGTCGCGATGCACCCCCACCAGCAGCCCCGCCGGGTCGTCCGAGCCGCGGGACGCGTGCCCGCTCGCAGCTTCGATCTCCTCCGCAGACGGCTGCGGGTCCTCGGGCCGCTTGCCCTTGGGGCACCAGCGCGCCGCCAGCCAGAAGGGCTCCACCCCAAGCTCCTGTGCGTGCCTCAGCATCTGCCGCAGCGGCGTCTCCCCAAGATCCCCCTCCGCGCCGCCGCCGCCCGCCCCGCTGCCGCTCGCGCCGCCCGCGCCGCCTGGCGCCGCGGCGCCGTCGGGCGGGCGCCAGCTGGCCGGCATCCTGACCTTGAGCGTCTTGGACGGCTCGAGGGGCGCACGGCGCTGCAGCTTGTGGCCCAAGAAGTCGATGGCCAGGCCGCCGCGCAGCCTCAGGGGAAGCTGCCCGGCGCCGCCCTTGAGGCATGTTGGGACGGTCCTCCAAAGGAAGGGGTCGATGCCGTTGATATGCAGATAGTATGTCTGCTCCATCTGGAGACGGGTTGATGCAGCGCGGGTGGCACGCGAGCGCGTGAGGCGTCGGGCACGACCGGGCACGCTGGGGTGGCGGCACGATGCAGGCCGGCAGCAGAGGTGGCTGCAACACGGTGCATAGCAGCGGTTCCAGCAGCAGCGGCAGCAGCTGCGGCGGCAGCAGTGGCGGCGATGACGGCAGCATCGTCGACACCAGCGGCAGCAGCGGCAGCAGCAGCGGGCTGCCCGTTGCTGCATTTTTGCCTCAGGAGCCCGCCTGTCGCACACGCCGGCTGCCCGTTCGCCGCACCTCCCGCGCCAGCTGCACCCTCTCCTTGAGGCCCCTGAGCTGGTCCTGCACGTTGGGCTTGAGCCCTGCAATCACGATCTCAGTGAAGCTCCCCGCCACCTCGCCGGGCTCGCAGAGCGTCACGTCCCTGTCGGCTGCGCCGCGGCGAGCGCCCCCGCAAGATTTGTCAGCACGGGGCGAGGGCGGCCGGTGGGACCGATACGGCCACGCCATCCGCATCCAGGCATGTGTTGCAGGCGCATGCAAAAACATGCCCGGGCACGCCGCCGACAGCTCACCCTTGAATGGCTGCCCGTTCTGCCCCGGGCCCGGCGCGGTGGGCGCCCTGTCATTGCGCTGCCACTCGTCGAAGTCCGCCCTGATCTCTGTCAGCGTGCCCTGGCCGGCCATCTTGGTGCGCAGGGTGACGCGCGGCCCTGGGCGGCGGGGCGGGGGAAGCGGGGGCGGGCCAGGGATGGCGCCGCGCCTGAACGCAGATAGCTCAGCGGTGCAGCTCAGCATGCAAGGCACAGGTTCCCTGGCAGCCTGAGGGTTTCAAGACGCGCAGCAAGCCGTGAACGCGCGAGCCGTACGTGCAGCGCGGCGCTCACCAAAATAGAACAGGGAGTTGGCGCCCTTGCCGTGCCTGCTGAGCTTCTGGCCGTGGTAGTCCTCCAGGGTCAGGGGCAGCCCATTGGCTGCAAAGCACGCAGCGGCGGGTTTAAAAGAGGAGGGAGTTCAGCTCGGAGATCAGGCGTGCTGAAGGACATGCCAGCATGTCGGCGCGCATGACAGCATGCCGCCTGCGCACAGGGGCTCCCGGCTGCATCGCTGCTTTGAAGCTTCCCAGGGCCTGTTTTGCCCAGAAGCAGTCAGCCGTCTCGCTAAGCCAGCTGCAGCCACGCAACACGCTCGCATGACGCGCACTCCGCGGCAGCGCCACGATGCCCGATGTGGTGGCTGCCTGCTGCAGGTACATCGACGCCACATCCGTCGACATCCCGCTCTGCGTGAGGGCGCAGCCAATCAGGAAGACTGCATGATAGAATGTGCCAATGTGCACTCATAATGCAAGGCTGCGCTGCAAGCTACGAACACACATGCATGTCAGCCTGCCAACAAGGCCGCTTCAGCAAGCTACGAAACCGCCGGATGATGCCCACCCCCTTGTCACAGATGGCCAGGGAGGTGGGGGCGAGGTCGGCCGCCTGCTCCACCACCGTAAAGGTGATTTCGCGCGCCCCGGCGCCGATAGCGTTGTCTGCCAGCTCGTTGAAGTGGGCTTGTATCGGGATCGACTCCACCTGGGACAACGTGGTAAGGTGGGTATGAGCAGGGTCTGAGCACGGCTGGTCCCCGAGGTGATTGACATGCGGGGTAGGGCACGGGTGAGGTGACGGCGAGAGAGGCGCTGCATGCTTCAGAGGCGCCGGTCCCGCAGGCTGCGTCGCAACCCTCCTCACATCCTGGATATACGTGAACGCCTTGGGCAGCACGGATATGGTGTCATGCAGTTCAGTGCCATGCGCGCCCTGCGGCGATGGCAGAGGAGACACCAAGGCCCTAGCATTGGCGGGTGGGCGGCTGCACGGCGGAGCCGAGTTGAACGTGTCACTCAGCCACCGGCAAACACACATGGCGCAAGCTTTTTGAGATGGGGTTCGCAGGCGAGGCAGCACAGGCGCTCCAGCACAGGCGCTTGCCTGGCGGCGGGAAGCGGATCACTCGCCACCGCCGTGCGCGTGCACTGCTTTTAGTTGACAAATGCCCCCTCCTAGGCTCACCGACGCAGCCGCGGCTGCAGACATGGTATTTTTTGGATCCTTTCCGGTGCGTCAAGACGGCAACCACGCTGAACGAGCCATGTGCGCGCTTTCTTTGACAGGCCCCAGCTGCTGCTTGTCTTCTGCTGTGTCGCGTTCTTACAAAACAATATCTGAAATGCACTTAAATGTGAGGATTACGAAATATCTACCCACAGTTCGACGGTGATCTCGAGGTGGGCCAAACTCCGGTATCTACTGCTTTGCTGCGGCGTCAACAACCACTGCAGTCAAGCTGTTGAAGACAACCGTCTGGTGTGTATTGCGGCCACACCGGTACATTGTAGGCCGCAGTTGAAGACCAGTGCGGTACCTGGGCGCCCGCACGGTCGCGTCAGCACCGTGGCTCCGGGCAGTACACAGCACAGCGCAAGTGCATTTCGGCGTGTTACAGTCCTCTCAGCGCAAATGCGAGCTGCCTGGTTGCACCAGCGCTCCCAGCAAACGACACGCCTGTCGAAAAGAGTGGCAGCAATTGAGGGGGCGCCTCAGAAGCGATCAATCTGCACCATGCGCGAGGTGTCGTATTTTGTGGCTGCCAGCCTTGATGGCTACATAGCACGCACCGATGGGACTGTGGAGTGGCTGTTCACAGATCAGGTACAATCTGGGATGCAGCAGCTGCGGCCACTCGCTCCTGGCTTTGCGCACAGGGCAGCCGCGGCATCGCTGCTCAGAGTGTGTCCGCTGGTGGGTTTTCGCGTGTTGTAACAAGTGTTGCCGCTAATGTTGTACTGCCTTGACATTCCGCACACCAATGAGCAAACCTTCCCCTTCTGCTCTGCCACCCAATCGCTCAGGACTACGGCTACACCCCCTTCTTTGCTGGCATCGACACTGTGCTGATCGGCCGCAAGACGTTTCAGCAGATTGACTCCTGGGGTGACCCCTACCTCTATGCGAGCAAGCGCAACATCGTCTTCTCACGGACGCTGCGGCAGGAAGCGCTGGCAATGCGGCAGCGGCAGGGGGTGGAGGTCGAGCTCGAGGCGGGCGACCCCGTCGAGGCGGTGCGCGCTCTCAAGTCGGCGCCTGGGGCAGGCAGGATCTGGCTAGTCGGCGGCTCGGAGCTCGCGGCGCCGCTGCTGTCGGCGGGGCTTGTAGATGAGATGGTGGGTGCGGCACAGGTGGCATGCAAGCCAAGGACGCATTGGAAGTGCTGCGCGAGACTCGAATCATTGCCTCCCCAGCGTGCAGACACAGGTGTTTGTGCAAGGCTTTTTAGGTGACCAAGATAGTAGCCGGCCGCAAACGCCCTGCGCTGAACCGGCTACCTGATTGACTCGCCGCTTGCAGGTGCTCTCCTTCCATCCCGTCCTGCTGGGTGACGGCATCCCCCTTTTCAGGCGTGGCATGGCGGAGTCAGAATGGACCGTGGTGTCAAGCAAGACCTTCGATACGGGCCTGGTACAACTGACGTACCGCCTGCGGGCCGGAGCGGATGCGGAGCTGTTGGGGGAGAGGGCGCCTGCACAGAGCAGGCAAGCTGCTACATCGGTGTCTGGGCGGCCCACAGATGTGGAGTGATGCTGCTTCGCCTTGCAGCCCTCTCTCATATCCCCTTCGAACGCTCCCCTAAGCCTTGCATCTGGAAAGACCTTGACATGCAGCGTGGCTGTGCCTCACACAAAGCCTACTCGGTGATTCAAATCGCCCCGACTATTGCCTGCTGCGCCACTACCTTGCTTGCGCCCAGTTGCAAACGTCGAGACTGCCCATGTTGACTGCAGCTCTGTAGCCTGATGCCGCGGACTACTACCGTGTGTTGCTCTCTGACCAGCCAATCTGGGACCCTTGCAGGGTTAGTAACCAGTGCTGATGCACCCGAGTGATAGCATGACCAGGCAGGGAAACCTGGGTGAGACCGCAGGCATACGTGGGTCCAAGGGCCCATGCAGAGCGAATGCACATCACTGGCACGAAATGAGCATACGTGTCCTGCACAATGCCGTAACGTGTTTCGAACGCAACACCTCATATTCTGTGTAGATCATTTTGCCGCTCCGAGCAGCGGCTCTAAACGGTTGTTGCGGAACGATCATCAAATATTGCTTCGTATGGAGTCGCTGCCACAGCCACTGCTCCTACAGGTTGGTGGTTGCATCCTGCCGCATGCGCGCCGACGCCACCCCTCTCCCACCACAACCTTTCTGGGCGCCATCAACATGGTTCCTCCTCGCCTCGACGCTAGGTGCTGCGCCTGCTTCAACCAGAGGATCTGCTGCGCTTCAGCCTGGCCAGCCACGCCACCCGCCTCGCTACTTCCGCGGACGAGCTGTGGCGGCACTGCTGGCCATCGGGCCAGCCCCCGCCGCTGCCGGTCGGTGGCTTACGCGCCGCATACTGCGGTTACCGACGGTCGCAGTGCGCCGAGTGCGGCAAGCCGACGCCGCATGCGTTTGTGCCGCTGGGCTGCCGCCTGTGCGTGGCGTGCGAGCAGCGAAACCCCATCAAGTATGGGCTGGCGTCTGAGCTGGAGGCACGCGAGCGCTATGGAGTCAGCTCCGCGGCGCTGGACGGCCTGCCCAGCGTGCTTGTTATGAGGCGGCGTTGGTATCTGAGGTCGGCAGTCGCTGCGCTCTCACGAGCTACGCACATCGGTCGTGCCGGCAGCAGCAGCAGCCAGGACGGCAGCGACAGCGACAGCGATGGGACGGGGAGTGGCGACGCTTTTGAACAGGAGGGCGAGGCGGCAGGCGGCAGCAGCACGCATGCGGCACGCATGGCAGCTGCGGCTGCGCATGCAGAGTTAAACGATTTGGAAGCGGGGCCGGAGCAAGCAGGGCTGGAGGGGCGTCTGGCTGCCTTGGAGCTCCAACATTCCCAGCGCGAGGCGCGGCGCGAAGAGCGCAAGCAGGCGAAGAAGCAGGTGGGTGGTTGAGCTGTTATGGCACAATGGGGGATCATCTGTGAGAGCGTATGGGTGCTGCAAGTATGATGACGGTTTCAAGACATAATGTGCTGTGCCCCTCAACGCAACGCACGCACGAGTCGCAGGCCAAGGCAGAGCAGCGCGCCAAACGTGAGCTCAAAGCCCACGGCCTTCACTGGCAGGGGCCCAAACAGCCGAACGCACAGGCGTCCGGTGGGAGCAGCCACTCGCCTGGCAACGGGCGGCGAGGGCGCGGGGACGGGAAGAAGGCGCGCTACCAGGAGCAGCGGCTGGCGCGCAGCAAGGTGCATGTTTTGGGCCAGGCAGTCAGCTCGCTTTACGGCCTGGGGAGCTGCTGCGAGGCATGATATTGTCGTACTGCCACGCCTCATCACCCTGAAGCCACTCGCCTCACCTGTGTGGGTCTGCGCTGTGCCCGCCTCTGCACAGGGCGAACCCGTCGCGTCGCGTCGCGGCAGCAAGGCCACGAGCAGCTGGCTGGTGGAGCGCGAGAAGCTGTTTGAGGAGTACGGCGTGTTTGACGCATCCGGGCTGATTTTAGCCGCAGAGTCGAAAGGCTTCATCTGATCCGACCGAGTTGTATCGCAAGTGAGCAGCTGTGGTGGCACGCATGCAGAGCAGTGCTGGTCAAACCAGTCAAACCCTGCTCGGGGCCTGTCCGTGCAGCTCAACTGCATGTTGCCAACCAGCAACGCCATGAAGCCCTGTCAAGTCATTGAGAGTTGCAAAGCAGATGGCAGGACGGCAAGATTGCCTCAGCACACGTATCACTATAATGTGCCTCAGATCACAGTCACGGTCCCATTTGTTCGGACTGTCGGGGTGTGAGTCGAACTAAAATTATCCTTCTTCACGCATCCATGCAGCCTCTGCGGCATGTTTTTCTGCGTAGTTTGCCTCGGCGCATAAGTTCGCCATTCCGGGCGTAACTCGATATGTTGCCGCACAAGAGCGATGACGTCGATGGCGAACTTGTAATAGCATGTGCCTCGTGGCAGAGCCTTGCGGAGCGTGCGTGTCGCGTCGCACATGTTCTGTTGGTGCAGTGATGCTGCTGCTCCTCCAGTTGTGAGGCTGGCTCGGTCAGAGCAGCAGAATGGCGGGCATCGGGCGGGACCTGAGGGTTGCCATCCTGGGTGTAAGAGCGCAGGTGCGGAAGCCTGGAAGACTGCAGTGGTGCAATATTGAGTCGACACGGCAAAAGCCTGTTGGACACGTGGAGGCGGCACTCGAGAGCTGCCAAGACCACAGACAAGCTCTGCCCACCATACGCCCACCATACGCCTTTACACCACAGGAGCCAAGGCGCTACTATGTACAGGTCACCATCGCCGGCACCGCGGGGCCGCCCCTCCCGCCAGGCAAGGGCGGCGGCGACGACCCCGCCTCTGCCGCGGCTGCAGCGCTTCGCCCCGACACGGTCGCGCGCACGGAGACCGCGCCGCTGTCGCGCGCCCCCGAGTTCTGCAACCGCACGTTTATCATGCGGCTGCCGCAGCCGCTGGGCGCAGCGCTGCACTCACGGGCCGTGCTGCAAGTCAGCTTGTACGCGACCCCCAGCCTCGACGCACCGCCGGGGCCGCTGCTGGCAGGTGTGGTGCGTGCGCGCGAGGGGGCCGCGCCGCCCCTGAATGAGGGTGCTGATGGGTATGTATGCTGCTGTCAGCAAGTCAGCTGCCAAGGCCACCTGCCGCACGCTCTGCAAATGCATGTTTGAAACCACCACTTGCACTCACCCAAGGCCATCCAACACCCCGCAAACACCCTCCGACCAACCATTGGCAACAGCATTTTCCCATCTCCGATTGACTGCAAACCATGCCCTCAGGAAGAGAGGTAGACGACCTTGTAGGCCGCGGCTATATAGAGGTCCGCGGAGAGCTCGCCGCGCGCCTGCTGCGCGGCGAGCGCGCCACGCTGCCCGTCGCCCTCCTCGACCTCGGCCGCGACGCGTCCGCCGCCGTCGCCGCCACCGGCGCGAGCAAGCTGCGGGCGCCGAAGGCCTACGACATCGGCGGCGCGACGGCGCAGCTGCTGGCGGCGCGGAGCAGCGTGGTCGCGGGCGGCGTGTATGGCAAGAGCGACTTGGAGGCCCTCGTGGAGCTTACACTGTTGGACTGCGCCGCCGCGGACTTGGTGCCCCTCGGACTGCTGTCCGCGGCGGCGGCCGCCGGACGCCCTAGTGGGGCTGGAGGTGGGAAGGGGCCAGAGGCGGACCCGGCGGCAGCGGCGGCGGCGGCAGGGGGCAGGGCGTTGGTGCGGACGCCGTCGGCATCGATGCGGGAGCTGGCGGAGTGCTCGTTATTGGTGCTGATCTCGGCGGCCGAAGGGCTGCCGCTCGTGAAAGGGTGAGGCCCCTCTCTGGCGCCGATTGAGTAGTTGCCAGATCTGCACAAGCAATTTGTTGTGCTGTTGACCGTCTGCGGCTGCCGGTGCGGTGGCAACAAGGCCGTGCCTGGCGTTTCATTTGCTGCTCATTCCCAGCGCAGCTGTTTCCGTGCACCTCGCATCGCACTGCCAGGCCGGAGGGCCGCACGGTGGCCCCGAGCTGCTTCGTCGCCCTCAAGTCCCTGCGCGACGCGGAGCAGCGGCTTCCGGCGCAGGCCGTCACGCGCGTGGCGGCGGCCACTCAGGACCCCGTCTGGTGAGCCTACCGCCATGGCTGCCCCCGTCCCGACCTTATCCTCCGCTATTGCTCGTGCTCCGCTTGCGGCGGATGCTGCGCCAGCAAGTTAACGTGCTTCCAATGGGTGGTCATACCTTGTGGGTTGACACAGGGGCCAGCTACTGCGTGTGGTGTACCCTGAGGAGCGGCTGCCAGGGGAGCAGCTGCTCCTGGCGGTAGTCAATGATGAGACCAGCAAGCTCCTGCTGAAAGCGGCGGTGCCGCTTGACGCAGTCGTGCCAGGTGGGCGCGCGCGTTTGCGGCTGCAGCTGGGTTTTTTTCCAATTTGAGCGTGTGAGGATCCCGGCTAACCGACGCCTGCCACGCGTCGGTTGCATCGAGGACGTGGAACAAGGCTGCATGTTCTCCCTATGAAAGCTCAAACCTCTGGCACTTCTGCTGTGTGCATTCCACCCGAACCCAGGCTTGCACTACCATCTTAAGCTTAGCTTCCCGGATGACAGCGGCGCCGCCGTGTACGTCACACTCTGCCTCCTGCCGGCCGCCCGCACGCAGCTGCAGCGGCTCCGCGCCGCGCCGCTCGCGGCCGCGCCGGGCGCGCGGCTGCTGCAGGCTCGGCTGGCCGGCACGAGCGCGCAGCTCGCGCGGCTGGGGGATGAGGGGCAGGGCGCTGCTGGGGGCGAGCTGTGGGCAGTCTGGCGGCCCAGGGGCGTGGCTTCTAGCACTGAGGACGATGCACCAGCCTTGGCACCATTAGATGTTGCAACGCTCCACTTGCCGGCGTCGGCCTCCGACCCAGCAGCAGTGCGGGCGGCGTTGCAGCAGCAGTCGGCCGCCGCGCTGGACGGCGGGGACCGGGGGCCGCCGCAGGCGATGCCGGTGCAGCGGCTGGGTGGCGCCGGGGTGAGCGGCACGGCTGGTGGGGGCGGCTCTGGAGAGGATGACGCGGGCAGTCTCCTGTGGCCGCCAGACCACATGATGATGCTTCCTTTGGAGACGGCTGGAGCGGGGGATGTGGGCACTGTGCTTGAGCTCCACTTGCGGCGCTACGGTCGGGGCGGTGGCCCCGGCATCGGCGGGCCCGGCGCCGACGCAATTGATGCCGCTGCACCGCCCGCCACCGGCGGCGGCGCGGTCGCGGCGCTGCGGCGACAGAGGCAGGCCCTGCAGCAGCAGCAGCAGCAGCAGCAGCAGCAGCTGCAGCTTCCTATCAGCTGCCTGCTGGCTCGACTGGACCTTCAGCCCGAGCAGATACCCGGCAACAGCCCCGGCGACGCCGTGATACTGGACGGCCTGCCGTTGGTGGGGCCGGGCGGCGACGCAGCGGGGACAGCGACGGTGGAGGCGGTGCCCTGGGACGTCCCGAGCTTCTTGGACCACCTGCAGCGGCTGGCGGGGCTGCCGGACAACAGCAGTGAGAGCCGGTTCATACATGGGTGGCTGCATACTTGGTCTCTATCCGGTGCACAGTACAACAACTGTGATGATTGCTGGGACTGCGGATTGTCTCCCATAACCCCGGGCTCAAACACCTCTGCCTGCGGCTGTTGTGCACTGTTGACAGTCTTACCAGCTCCAAACACCTCCTGCGCCCTGCGACCAGGGAGCCCGGGCGCGCCCGCGCACTGGCCGGACGCTTTCGCGGGCCCGGGCGCCCTGCCCGCCTCTGGTGTCGCCGCCGGTCTGCTGGGCGTGCCAGCCCCTGGCTCGGCCGCCGGCCAGGTCCTCGCGACGCTGGCAGCCGACATGGTTTCGAAGCAGGCGGCGCTGGAGCGCCTGCAGCGGCAGGCCGACGCGGCTGACGCGCGCTGCGACACCGCGGCCGCGCGCCTGCGCGACATGCAGGGGCGAAACCAGTGAGCGCCGCAGCCGCGATCTGCCGCCGCTTCGACCTTTTGCCTGAGCGTCGCGGCGCCTTGCAGCACCCGCGCCTGTCATTGAGAAAGCCCACCTGCATCCCTACTACCTAGTGATTCAAGTCACACATGGAATCAACAAATTGCATCAAAACATCCAGGGCACTATCCGAGGAGGTCCAGCACCTGCGCCGCATCATCCGAGAGGAGAAAGAGGCGTCCCTTGCGGCCTCCGGCGCCGACGGCGCCGCCCCAACGGCCGCCTGCCCCTTGGGCCCAGACCCCGCGTCCTTGCCGCAAGAAGAGCTGCTGCGGCGCGCCGAGGCGGCGGCGGGCGCGCTCTCGCGGGAGCGGCGGCGGAACGCGGAGCTGGTGCACCGGCTGCAGCAGCTGCACGGCGAGCAGGTGCGGGCGGCGCGGGCGGGGCCGCGCCTGCGCGTCGCTCGCGGCGCACAACTACACGTTGCTGCCGCGGCCGACAGCATCCTGTTATATGAAGCTCTTTCTCCTGTTATTCGTCCCCTACACTGTCAACTTCATTCACAGCAGCTCGTGGTCCACCTGGGCTGGCCAGCACATCACCAACCCCAACTGCTCTTTTCTCCGCTGTGCATGCCTCAAACTTGCGCTCCATCCTAAAACATGTGCACACACGCCAGGTGGATGTTCTTGAGCTGCAGCGGCGCTACTCAGAGCTGCAAGAGGCTCACGTGACACAGGTCAGGCGGCGCCCCCAGGCCCTGGCAGCGCGCAACCCTCCATGTTGTATAGGTTGGCTCGCCACGCGGCTTGTCTGCTGGCGATTGCAACGTTTCTTCGCACCTCCGGAGTTTTCTATGCCTTGCAGCAGTCACGGCGGCCGCCTGACGCCCTGCACCCTTTGCCTTTGCTTTGACCCCTAATGCTCTGCGTCGCCCCTGCTGCCGCAGGCTGAGCTGCTGTCGAACCACGAGGAGCTTTCAGCAGACGTGAAGCTGCTGCGCGAAACGGTGAGCGCTGGCGTTCGAGTGGAGTACCTCCAGGGGTGGACGTGCCTGTGCAGCCCTGCAGCACCTCACCACAGGGAACTTCGCAACCCCAGCGTGCTGCAAATCATCCTCTGCAGATGGGGTGGTTGTGTGCTTTTACTTGACAAAAATCCTGAAATTGTAGGATTTGAAATTCAACTTGAAAGCAACGCCACCACCTATGGCAGGTGAAGGGCCAGGAGGGCGTCATTGCCAAGCTGGAGCGCCTGCTGGCGGCCGCCGCGGCAAAGGGCAAGGAGCTGGACAGGTGGAGGGCTGCCGCCCAGGCGCGAGAGGCCGAGCTGCAGCAGCTCTGGTGAGGCGGGCCGCCGCACGCTTGGGTCGCTGGCAGGAGGTAGGGCGTACGTTTCCGGGCGCCAAGTACGGCCATTCAAGGGTATGCACCGCAGGCTCGGCAGTGCCTGAAAACTTGACGCAACGCCTGCGCCCCTGCTGCGTGTCACTCCTATGCCTGCATCTCCCCTTGCCGCCCCAGGGAGCAGCTGGACCGGCTGCAGGCGGACCACCCAGAGGAGCGGCTGGCCGCCCTCCAGACAGAAATGCAGGAAGCCTTGGAACGCGCAGAAGCAGCAGAGGCCGCCGCCGACGCCGCGCGTGCCGACGCCGACGCGGCGCGCGCTGAGCTGGCGGCGGGCCTCGAGGCGGCGCGTGTGGGGGCCGAGGGCGACCGCGCCGCGCTCGAGGAGGCGCGGGCCGCCGCCGCGCGCGAGGCCGAGGCGGAGCGCGACGCGGCGCGGCGCGCGCT